AGCAAGCATTTTCCAGAGAGAGGAAACAAAACTGCATTTATCCCATAGGACACATAATTTAGAACCCTAAATTTTATTTTTTAATATCTTAAATTCTTTAGTTAACACCACTGTTGGTTGTCTTGGTTTCTCTTGACCGAGCTGGGAAACTCTAAGTTCTGGCTGGATTCTCCTCTCTTCCTGGTAGATGGACTCTGGCTTTTCCTAAGGCAGAGCTAATGCCCAGATGACGATTCTCCCAGCACTGGGATTCTTCAGGCGGAGTGTATAGTCAGAAGCAGAGGAGAAAATGTAATTTGACACTTTCTCCATGCAGAATGCTAAGAGGGACTTCAAGATGCTTTTTAACTGTTAAAGGCCCCAGGATTCCAAATGGCCAGATACATGCAAGGCGGTCTCCATTGACACTTAGCTTGCCATGACCCTATGGGTCAGAGGAAGGTTCCAGAGAAAGATCAGCAGAGTCAGCATCTTCATACCAAGATTCAAGACACCAGGGCAAAGGGAACCATCTGGACCTCTTATTGAACTGGGAAAGTGCAGAAGGCGGAACTGGCGGCTACATCTGTTGTCTAAATTTATTGAGCTAGCATACACCCATACAGAGCCTTGGAGTTGGGGTTTTTTCTGATGACTGACACATGCTGTAATGATATCCTACATTTAATGGAACACAATAGCACTGTAAACATAGACCAAGAATGAATTTCATGAAACAGACAAATTTCTGAGAGGAGGGAGAACAGAGAAGCTGGAGAAGCAAGTCTTCAACAGTTAAAAGAGCTGCTAAAACAATTGAAACGGGATATTTTTATTTGTCTTGAAAGAAGGATTCAAAATGCTGTGCATTATTTATTTTTAATGGTATATTTTTTTATTGTGTCAGCTAAAAACATTTTCTTCGTGCTGCTGATAAAACAGCAAGAACTACAACCGAAATGATCCTTCATTGGATCAAAGATGTCAGGCACAGATAATTCAAATTCTCTCCCAAAGATTACACTTTGCGCAATATTTGCATGATCTAAGTTCAAATGAATAAAAACTAAATACAAAGAGTGGGAAAGACTGACTTTCAACCATTTGCTTTCATGACTTTGAGATTCAGCTCTTTTCTGTATTAATTGTACAAGCCCTGAAGAATTCAAGCTACTATTGTCTTTGGGGAGGAGGGGATTAAAAAGAATGACAAAAATCTTAAAAGGCAAGATGCTTAGAGAGGAGATGATGTCTGTACTGTCTCGGATACTTATTTAAGTTCCTGGAAAATAGCAGTGGCTTAAATATTTGGCTATTTTTTTCTCTCTTTGTCTAAATTTCCTCTTCTTGTAAGGACACCAGGCACATTGGGTTAGGGTTTACTCTAATAATCTTATTTTAACTTAATCTCTATCTCAAATATGGTCCTATTTTGAGGCTACTGAGGGTTAGGGCTTTAGCATGAATTTTGGAATTCGGCCCATATCTGAGAATTGCAATATGAGCACTACCAGTGTATTGCTGACCTTTTAGGTTCTTCAATAAAAGAACTGATTTTTGTTTGAAGCCAGCTTTCTCCCACTCTGGGTCTACTTGGATTGAGGAGAGGTCTATACTGGGTTCAGCAAACCACATTCTCCAGGCCTAGTAAGAGGTTCAGAAACTAAGGCAATCAGAACGGATCTCAGGAATTCTACAGGAGTAGGGAGAATGGAGTGTCCCAGTTCTGGCTAGACTTTGATCCAAGAGCTTGTGCTGCAGCCTATTTACCGTCCTTGGCAGAGACCCTGGAGGGGAGCGGTGGGAGGCACGGTATGCAGCATGGACGCTAACATAGCGTCAGCCCCACTGAAGGAAGCAACAAGTTTGATTGACATCATGGAAATCTCAAACCTAGCTGCAAGCCTGAAACCGCACAGCCCTCAGGCTCTTCAGCTCTGCTCTGAAGTTTGGGTTGGTTTTGGTTTCTTTCTCCTGAAGTTGGCCATGTCCCAATCAATCTAAAAGGCGCCCTACTTTATGGAGACGTTGAGACGTCCTCAGCTGTTGCTGGACACAGCCTTTCTTAGAAACGAGGGGCAGAAATTGATAACATGTCACAGAACAAGCTTAGGCATTAGAAGTGCCACTAAAAGCTCATTGTTAAAGTCCTCTTGACTTCTCTGAGGCCATGGGAGATCAAAACCCCCATCTTCCTAGTAGCAGCAAGCATCCCACTCACCTTGTGTTCAGAGAGCCATGCTTCACGATATTAAGACATGCTGAGAATCATCTTGGTCCCCCAGCAAACGGTCCGTGTTTCTTCATTTTCCTTGAAGAGTTCTACAGCTTGCCGTGTTATTCTCTTGTCAAAGATAACATTCTGAGCAAGGGGCTTCAATTGACGCCACCGTTCCAGAAACCTGAGAATCCCTTAAAAGTGAATGAGCGGTATTGTGCACACATTTCTATCCTGCTGCTTTGGAAACTTAGTGGAGATAAATGTCATGGGCTTCTCGGTGTTGCGCTCACCCGGGGGAACAAGCCACCCTTGCACAAGCTGAGCCCTAAGTGTCCCTCGTGAGATGATGTGTGCTTACGACGCACTCTGGGGCACTCAGACTGAGTGTCCCTCGTGAGATGACGTGTGCTTACGACGCACTCCGGGGCACTCAGACTGAGTGTCCCTCGTGAGATGACGTGTGCTTACGACGCACTCCGGGGCACTCAGACTGAGTATCCCTCATGAGATGACATGTGCTTACGATGCACTCCGGGGCAGTCAGACGGCTACCCTGCAATGCCAGAGTCTGTAGGAGGAGACCCCCAGAGTAGTTAGCGTCCATAGACTTAAAAAATGAAATGAAAATGAATCCCTAGGGACTCTGCATAATGTCTGTGTCTTAGACAGAAAAAACACACTAGTTGCACTGCAGACTTCCAGAGCATGATGTCATAAGTCAGATCCTATAACAGGAAGCAGAAGATGAATGTCTGCTGCCGACAGCTGGAAGGAGTCAAAAAAAAAAATACACTGTAAATCTTGCCACCACTCGCCTAAATTATAAAAGATGACTTTTGGCATCGAGCAGACTTCTTTCAGCAAATAACTGCTTCCCAAGGAAGGAATCCTGAACACTCAGTAAATATAATATACGGGCAGTCAGATTACCAGAGGGAGCTTTGTGTGTGGTACAATTTATTCCCCAAAATCAAAACCTAACCGGGTTTTAGGGGAGTGGCCAGGGAGGTGTTGGAATCCCCACCAAGGAAAGTGAATAGGTAGATAATTTAGCAAAACAGTTTTCTTCCCATGAGCCTCCCAACTGAACACTTCCTCCCCTTGAGGTGTGGGTATGCACCTCCTTGGACCTAGAGTGTTGGTCCCATTATCTGTAAATGATATTGATGGCATTTTATCTGGCAAAGCCTTAAACAGGTCAACATCAAGACTGGAGAGAGGCCTGCCCTCCACCCCATTTCATAGCACACGCCTTGCACCACAGTATACTGCAAGGGCGAGAGGCCCGCTGGGGAGGAGAGGGGGGCTTCTCAGAGCCTGATACGTGGAAGGGGGCAATCCTCTTCGAAACAAGGCCAAGAGCTAAAAACCAATGCTACTATGTAATTTCAAGCTATTGCTAACTATCCCTTGTATGTCCTAAGCACAGACATCTGCATACAGCTGGGCAGACAGGCACAGACGTGTGTGCCTCCGTGAGCATGCCACAGTGATACACACCTCAGCAGCTTAGAGGAATGCAAGCAAACGGAACCCACAGAGGCTGCGGGAGGAGAAGGAGACAGAAGGGAACGAGGAGGGAGGGAAATCCACGGAGAGTGGGAGCGTGGGGGAATGGACCCAGGTGGAAAATGGCAAGGCGTCAGGAAGTTTATTAAGCTTTGTTCACGTCTCCAAATTAGAAACCCACATCTATGAGCTGAAATCAGAGAGTGGCTGCCATATTGAATTGCAGAGCTGTTGACCACTGGACAGAGGGTAGCTTGACTTTAGTGTGGGAAATTCAGTTCCAATTCATCCTAAAATAAGAGAGTTAGCCTCATCCCCTAGCTATATTGATTGACCTTCACATCTTTTGGGAGGAGGAATTCTGCAATTCGGATTTTCATAAAACATTGACTATAACTTTCTAGTTACTAGCCTTCAGATTTTAGAATGGCTGTTACAAAAGGAGACTCAGAAAGATGAATTTTTGCAAAAATCCCAAAGTTTCTCCTAGCAATTTTAGAAGTTTTTAAAAAATAATAATAATAAAATTTAAATGTTGATATACCATAACATTTACTATATATTTGATTTGTTAAAGTGTGAAATGTGAGGAGATGTTGAAAAACAAAGAACCATGATAAAATATTTTCAGAGCCCAAAATTTAGAGATCATTTACAGACCCAGGTGGGGAGGAACCCTGAAAAGCATCTTTTCCAGGCATGACAAACACTCTTCACATTCCATGTCAGATCTATGTGGTTCCAGGTTGTTACTTGTGTTGAAAAAACTTCTGAGGCTTAAAGGAAAACTGGCTGTTTTCTGCTCACATTACTTCTGCTTTTTCCCACATTGGCCAATTCTTCAACACCAGATGGGTGTCCTACAATTCAATTAAATTCTGACATTATCTACCTGGAGTTAGCATCAGACCTCACAATTTGGGGGTTTAACTCCAGAAGGCTGCCCTCACTAAAGATGTTAACTGCATTCTACAGACCATCTGATGTGAAGAGCTGACTCATTGGAAAAGACCCTGATGCTGGGAAAGACTGAAGGCAGGAGGAGAAGGGGACGACAGAGGATGAGGTGGTTGGATGGCGTCACCGACTCGATGGACATGAGTCTGAGTAGGCTCCGGGAGCTCATGAAGGACAGCGAGGCCTGGCGTGCTGCGGTCCATGGGGTCGCAGGAGTCGGACAGGACTGAGCGACTGAGGAGCAACAACAGACCAGCCTTCAGTGAGGAGTTCCCACACCCCCTTCCCCAGTTGGCTAGAACAGCTTACAACACGTAGGGAAACCCTTACTTACGTCTCCCAGCTTATTTTCTATCAAAGGTTTATAAGGGATACAGAGGGATAGCGCGTGAGCAGGTTGTGGGGTGAGCTCCGGCGAGGTCCCGAGCGCAGGAACCCCCGGGGAGCTGGGCTGCGCCACACTCCGGGCATGTAGGTGTGTTCGCCGGCCTGGAAGCTCCGTGTAGCCTGCACTTTAGGAATTTTTCTGGGGGCTTCATCCCCCCCAGAGGATGGCAGTGGGGCTGAAAGTCCCAAACTTCTAATCATATTCCATCTTTCTGGTGAACAGCCTCATCCTGAGACTATCCAGGAGTCACCTCATTAATACAAAGGATGTTCCTGTCACCCAGAAAATTCCAAGAGTTTTAGCTTTGCATAAGACCCTCCTATCACCCCCCATCACTCAGGAAATTACCAGGGGGTTGAGGAGCCCAGAGCCAGGAGCTGGGGGCACAGAGGCTTAGGAGGAAAGAATATGGCGACGGTGACACCTCCACCCCGTTCCTGATGAAACATGTGTTTCTGTTAAACAGAAGCCCTCATCTTCAGACAGGTTAAACAAGTTGCATGATGCCAGGAAGTGAGTTACAAGATTCTAAGTTTCTCGGTTTTCTTACCGGCATCTGCACATCATTTGTTGCCAAGTCATGTTGCCTCTGGCACTGACGGTCTGGTACATTTAATATACAGCTGGACTGAAGGTGAAATTAAGCAAACACTTAAGAAAGCAGATGGCGATAAAGAGCAACCCGTAAGTCATAGAAGCCTGACCCAACCAAACTGTCCAAAATATGACCTCACTGGACAGAATAGTTACCAAGAATGTTTCCAAGTTATCATCTTGGTGAGAAAAATTCCCAAACCTCAGACAAACCCGCTGCCCCTTTTATTTTGTGTTTTCCTAAATTGCAACCCAAGGAACCGGGAAGAAAAAAGAGGCACGCCATACACCTTCCTGCAGAAATGGCAGACCACTGGCTAAATGAGTTTACGATTAACCAAATCCTCTTTCTTAAAAAAATAAAGCACGCAGACACACATACACACCACAAAAAGGGAACAAAAACAGTTATGCTAAGCACTTTGCAACTGATACCTGTTAATGAGGGTGTGTGTGTGGGGGGGGGTCACTAAGTCGTGTGTGACTCTGTGCGCCCCCATGGACTGCAGGTCCCCACGCTCCTTTTCCTTGGAATTTCCCAGGTAAGGATACTGGAGCGGGTTGCCATTCCCTTCTCCAGGGGATCTTCCTGACCTGGGGATCGAACCCGCGTCTCCTGCATTGGCAGGTGGATTCTTTACCAGGGAAGGCCAGTAAGGGGTTTATTTCAACCTAATTGAAATTTTACTTTTATGCTTGTCACATGCTGTTTTTTCTTTGGCTTAAATCAGTCATTTCAGGAACTGCAGTGTTTTTCAGTGTGATCTCACTGGAAGATTTTGCTCACTTTGGGTCATTTGAAAATGTGAGCAGCATGGCTTTAGCAATCAAACTGACATTCAGGCAAAAGGCAATATGGAATGCTGAGTTAGTGTTTAGGTGTTTAACAGTTAGGAATACAAGATCATAGTGTTCATTATACACCCAACTCTGTATGAACTAATCGATTAAAACGCATTGGCCCTGGTGAAGATAATCACAGCCCTTTCTAACTGTGCTGTCATTTTGCCCATTTCTTCTTTTTACCCAGGAGTGTACGCAGAGTGCTGTCAGATATTCTTCTGCACGCTCAGTCCATTCTCTGCTCATGCCATTCACCTATTTTAATAATCTGATCTACCAATTTAAGCTTGATATTTGTTTTTGCTAGCTCACACTAAGGAGTAATCACTTCTCAGTGTCCCTGCTTGTTTAATAACATGTTCCAATATGTGCCAGTGATGGAGCTCAACCATTCTGCTGTGTGGTTCCCAGAAGTGACCATTCACCACCTTTCAGAAAATTAGTACCTGTGCCTGCCTCCAAGTTTGATCTTTCCCTCAGCCAATACCCTCTGTGTGGATGGATGACCGTGGGTCCTCGTCACCTCTCCAAGTCGGGCAGGACGTTAGTGGACTTTCTTAAATAGCAGAGAAACAGCTCACTTCTAAAGTGACTAAGGGAGCTCTCTGGACCTCCCTCGTGGTCCGTGGTTAAGAATCAACCTTCCGAGGCAGGAAGGCAGGTTGGATCCCATGTGCTGCGGGGCACCTGAGCCCACACACTGCAACTAAGACCCTATGCAGCCAAAAATAAACAAATAAATATTTTTAAAAATAAATAAAGTGCCTAAGTGAGTTGTTATTTCAGGGTCAGCAACTATGGCCCAGAGGTCAACTCTGGCTGGACAAATATTTTTATGACTCAAAACCCAATTAAAAAATATATATATATATATATTTAGAAACGCTTTTAATGTGCACAACAACGTGAAAATTACATGAAATTCAAATTTCAAGTGTCCGCAGATTAAGCTCGGCCGGAGCAGAGCCACACGGGCGCGCTCCTGTTTCCACGAGGCCGCGCTGGGGACCTGCTGCAGGGACGGGAAGGCTGCCAAGGTCAGATGCTTATTTACTTATTTCTAGGCCATTACAGCAAAGTCGGCCAAGCCTAGACTTATTTTAATGTTGTAGTCTGTCTTTAATTCCTCCCTTAAGGATGCTTGCTTGACACATTCAGATTGAAGGTCAGATTTCTTGATCTGAAAATTGAGAGAAAATGGGATTGAATGGCTGTGCCATCATTTAGCTGCTTACCGGGCCCCAGGCAGGAGTGCGGTTTCTTTCTGGTTTATCTTCTCATCTGACACATCACTATAAAGCTGTTTTCCCTTTAGGTAATATTTCCCCAGGTTTTAACGCATCATGACCTTTAACCTTCCTGAACATATGTCGACGGATCTGTGACAGTTTTTTCTTTCTATTTGGCCTGGTTATCCTCTCCTACTTCCATCCCCCGCTCACGTGTATGAATTTATCAGAAATCTACCTCCCCAGACACACTGGCTTCTTCAGATTTTTTCCCCCCAACATGAGCAGATAATCATATATTATTATGTTTAAAGAAATGATCAGCTTCTTTTAGTGCCAAAATGTTTTAGAATCTCTACAAGTGATTTTATTATTTGTACTCATTTTAAATCTGATTTTGTAAAGGCAGGTGTGGAAACTGAACTTAGATGACACCAGCCCTGCACTCTGTAATTTGTCATCCATCACAGCCACTGCCAGCAGATGACTGCGCTATTCACCCCACCCTCAGCCCCACGGCGATCTCAGATCGCTGGGGAGTAGGAGACTCAGAGAACATCGGGGTCTGAAACCACCCCTGGGCTGCAGCAGGGGTGAAGCAGAAATCCCTCATTCAAAACTGAAATGCAAAACTGGAACTGAGATCCTTTCCTTCTATGATGGGACTGATATTATTTACTGAAAGTTGCAAAGTTTCTGGATCACACATCTGTCCCTCAAGTTCTATATCCTTAAGAGGTAAAAGGATGGAGAAAATGCCTGCTCAGGATTTGCTGTGTCATTGGTGGAAACTTTAAAAATCAAAATGTAATTGGTTAGAAATTTAACCTTTATCTTTTAGGGTAAGAACAAGAGAAAATGCACTCTGATAAGAGACTTCTTTCACTTTGCACACGTATGTTCTAGTGAAGAAGGAAGAAGGCGTCAGGGGAGAAGTTAATCCGGACGCTCGCGTCCTTCCTGAGAGAAGGAGCCATCACCCAGCCCCGTCTGGCTTGTGCAGCACCTGGAAAGACCGGCCGGGAAAGCCTCCTCTTCCGATTCATGAGCTGGATGCAATCCCAGCTGATCCATTTCAAGTCCTGAAAGATGACGCTGTGAAAGTGCTGCACTCAAGATGCCAGCACATTTGGAAAACTCAGCACTGAAAAAGGTCTGGGACTGGAAAAGGTCAGTTTTCATTCCAATCCCAAAGAAAGGCAATGCCAAAGAATGTTCAAACTACTGCACAATTGCACACATTTCACAGGCTAGCAAAGTGATGCTCAAAATTCTCCAAGCCAGGCTTCAACAGTATGTTAACTGTGAACTTCCAGATGTTCAAGCTGGATTTAGAAAAGACAGAGGAACCAGAGATCAAAGTGCCAACATCTGCCGGATCATCGAAAAAGCAAGAGAGTTCCAGAAAAACATCTACTTCTGCTTTATTGACTATGCCAAAGCCTTTGACTGTGTGGATCACAATAAACTGTGGAAAATTCTGGAAGAGATGGGAATACCAGACCACCTGACCTGCCTCCTGAGAAATCTGAATGCAGGTCAGGAAGCAACAGTTAAAACTGGATATGGAACAACAGACTGGTTCCAAATAGGAAAAGGAGTAGGTCAAGGCTGTATATTGTCACCCTGCTTATTTAACTTATGTGCAGAGTACATCATGAGAAATGCTGGGCTGGAAGAAGCACAAGCTGGAATCAAGATTGCAGGGAGAAATATCAATAACCTCAGATATGCAGATGATACCACCCTTATGGCAGAAAGTGAAGAGGAACTAAAGAGCCTCTTGATGAAAGTGAAAGAGGAGAGTGAAAAAGTTGGCTTAAAGCTCAACATTCAGAAAACTAAGATCATGGCACCTGGTCCCATCACTTTGTGGGAAATAGATGGGGAAACAGTGGAAATAGTGGCAGACTTTATTTTTGGGGCTCCAAAATCACTGCAGATGGTGATTGCAGCCATGAAATTAAAAGACGCTTACTCCTTGGAAGGAAAGTTATGACCAACCTAGACAGCATATTAAAAAGCAGAGACATTACTTTACCAACAAAGGTCTGTCTAATCAAAGCTGTGGTTTGTCCAAGAGTCATGTACAGATGTGAGAGTTGGACTATAAAGAAAGCTGAGCACTGAAGAATTGATGCTTCTGAACTGTGGTGTTGGAGAAGACTCTTGAGAGTCCCTTGGACTGAAAGGAGCTCCAACCCAGTGCATCCTAAAGGAGATCAGTCCTGGGTGTTCATTGGAAGGACTGACGCTGAAGCTGAAATTCCAATTCTTTGGCCACCTCATGTAAAGAGCTGACTCATTGGAAAAGACCCTAATTCTGGGAAGGATTGGGGGCAGGAGGAGAAGGGGACAACAGAGGATGAGATGGTTGGATGGCATCACTGACTCAATGGTCATGAGTTTGATGGTTGGATGGCATCACTGACTCAATGGTCATGAGTTTGAGTGAACTCCGGGAGTCGGTGATGGACAGGGGGGCCTGGTGTGCTGCAGTCCATGGGGTCTGAAAGAGTCGGACAGGACTGAGCCACTGAACTGAACTGAGCTGAAAATGTCTGTTACAAGTAGATACATAATACAGTCATTAAAAGGTACATATAGCAAAACGTTTTCTGTTAGTTGAACATACGAAATTGCCAACACTTCCCAATTTGTGACCGTCACAAACTGTAATTTCATATGCTTAAGCCTAACGTTTAGAATGACTCAAGTCTGGAACAAAATCAAGCCCAAAATCCTTATGAATGGAGCTCAGGTTGAGAAATACTTATGGCAGCAATGTTGAATAGTTTTTTTAACCGAAGAATAATTTTAGAAGTGCTGCTCACTGCCAAGGATTTTTGAAGAATCCCACCTTCACTCATCAGTAAGCAGAACTCCTGCTGAGCTTCTTGGGTGTCCCTACTGGTACAGAAACCTCCTGCCAAGGCAGGAGACGCAGGAGATGCAGGTTTGACCCCTGAGTCAGGAGGGTCCCCGGGAGGAGGGCATGGCAACCCACTCCAGTGTTCTTGCTGGGAATTCCCAGGGACAGAACAGCCTGGTGGGATACAGCCCACAGGGTCACAGAGTCGGACAGGACTGAGCGGCTTACCACGCACGCACAGACCTCGTGACTGCCGTTTCAGCGTTGTTTTTCTTTTGATACTCATCTTTGCCCGCCCCGGTCAGCCGTGGCGCATCTGCAGGGATCTCTGCTGCAGCAGCAAGCTTTCTCGGGCTGAGGCACCTGGGCTCAGTAGTCGTGGCCTGTGGGCCCCGTTGCGCCTCAGCAAGCGGGGTCTTAGTTCTCAGCCCAAGGATTGGACCCCACGACCCTGGCACTGCGAGGCGGAGTCTTAACCACAGGACCACCAGGGAGTCCTATAGCAGTTTTTAAAATGGCAAAGATGCAGATTTATTTGGGGGCCTGTTTGGGTTCCTGGACACCGTCCACAGGCTGAACTTCACAACTTAAAAGTATTTGCTGGATGGAAGATGGGGAGAAAGAGTGAGGAGTGTGTGGAGGAAGGGTCTCCGCAGGTGATTCAGTGGTGAAGAATCCACCTGTCAATGCAGGAAATCCCCTGGAGAATGGCATGGCGACCCACTCCAGTGTTCTCACCTGGGAAATCCCACTGACAGAGGAGGCTGGTGGGCTACAGCCCGGGGGGTCGCTAAGCTCGGACACGACCCAGTGACTGGGTGTGCATGCGCACACACGAGGAGAAAGAAAGAAAAGAAGGGTTAAGTGAATCATGGCATCAAAGGGAGTTGAAGTGAAAGAGGTGGGGAAACATAATGTAAGGCATCTCCATGAAAAGCTGCAGAAGATTTCTGAGAGTAATCAAAGGTCTGAATAAGTGAGTAGATATACTACTACTAGGGGTTGGATATCTTAACATGTTACAACAATCAAAATCCCATTAAGTTTGTATGTGTGTGGAAATTGAGAAGCTGCTTCTACAGTTTATATGGAAATTCAAAAACCTTAGACTATCCAAAGAAATCTTGAAAAACTAACAAAGGAACTTAGATTACCTGACTCCAAGACTTACCATAAAGCTGGAGTGTTCAAGACAGTGCCGTCTTGGTAAAAGGACAGACAATGAATCAGTTGGTCAAAGTGTCATCTACTGGCTCATCCATCTACCCACCCACCCATCCATCATGTAGTTTATGCTCTGAATGGGGTACTGGACATACAAAGGGGAGTTAGAAGTGATCTAATTGTCAGAGTTCTGGTGCGTTCAACATGAACTGTATTAAATCATGTCTAAGCCCTGTATAGGCCCTGAATGACGAAGAGAAGGTGTCTCTGGGAGAGTTCACACAGGCAAGGTGACAGATCACTGAGATGGCCCGTGTCCATGGAACAGTGAGGAGTGTGGACAACCATAAACGGAGACAAGGTTAGTAAGTCGAATGGAGTCAAGATGCAAAAGATCGCACAGATTATCAAAGAAGCTTTATGCGACAGAGAACCCATGTTTTGTTTAGGTTTGCTTGTTTTGGGTTTGCATGCAGGTGATATAATAGTTATTTTTGTACAAAGATAACTTGGTTTGGAATGGGGATGTAAGTAAGTAAGTAAGTGTTAGTCTCCTAGTCGTGCCCAACTCTTTGCGACCCTGTGGACTGCAGCCCACCAGGCTCCTCTGTCCGTGAGATTTTCCAGGCAAGAATACTGGAGTGGGTTGCCATTTCCTTCTCCAGGAGATCTTCCCAACCCAGGGATCAAACCTGGGTCTCCTGCAGTGCAGGTAGATTCTTTACCGACTAAGCTACAATGGAAGCTGGAATGGGGATGACACACCAGCAAATTTTCAAGGAATGGTTCCAAGCAGGAAACCAGTTATTATATTTAATGTGTAAAAATATTCCCCAGATACCTGATAACCACTTAGAACTCGGGAAGAATTTTGATTTCCCTAAAATGTGCTAATGCACCTTGCCATCAGCAAATGGAGTATTGAATGCTTGGTTATGTTTTAAATTATTCTGCCATTGTGCAGCTGTCAGAAGACGTTTCTGAAGCCTGTTCCCATCTGGGGGCTCATCACAAATTATTAATGTCTCAGCATGCGGTGGTGGCCACTGCTTCCCCAAGCTGCAGTAAAAGTCACGTGAACACCATGTGCTTTCTCTACTTTTGATGGCTAGAGACCAATACCTGGCGGGTGGAGGGGGTGTGAAATACAACATGAAGGCGTAAAACAATGTAGAAACTAAGTTCAAAACAATGCAATTAAGATTTCTCAGTACCTTCTGCACCCAGGCCACTTTTGTTGACATGAAAACTTACATCAGGAAGGAATGAAAGTATAAAATATGACTTGGTTCTGTCAGTTCTCATATAGACACTAGGGCAAGGAATCATAACTCAAGGGTCACCCCAGCCCTACTGGACTCCACTATCCTGGGCTGTGGTGTGGGAAACAGAACACATGCTATCTAATGCAGCCCATCTTCAATTACCTGCTCTAGCGGAAAGGATAATCACCTTTCACGTTATATTGCAATTTGTGCCTATGTTCTATCCCAACAAGACTGTGGGCGACCCACATAAGAAGAGACGAACCTCCTGATGAAAAGAGCATGGATTTTGAAGACAGTGTTTAAAGCCTTTCTTTACCACTGTAGAGGGCGTCTGATGTGTCTGCTAGCATCATCTCCTCCTACCGGCTACATCGTCCCAATATTCATGTTACTCTCAGCCTCCTCTTTACTCTCTGCCCCATAGAAGGGTCAGGTTCATTCTTCCCCGCAGTTTCCCAACTCCAGTTCCGTGGATGGCCATGCAACTCAGACATGATCAATGTTTCTGTTGCCATGGTTTGGTTGCACAAGTCCCCCAAAGCATAGTGACTTGAGAAGAGAGCACCATTCCTATTTGTCTACAAAGATGCGGTGTGGGGAGGGTCAACGCGACAGGCCTTCTCTGACCCACTCAGTACCAGCGGAGACAGCTTCAGGGCTGGAATCACCGGAACTCTTAATCCTGCGTCCGGGAGTTGGTGCCTGCTGTCAGCTGAGATCGCAACTCTGTTGCCCAGAACACCCACATGTAGCCTCTCCACGTGGCCTGGGCTTCCAAGCAGTGCAGTGGGGGTTTCAAAGGTGGGCGCCCTGAGACAGAGACCCAGGCAAAAACACTCTCACTCTTTGTGACTTAGCCTTGGAAGTCCTGGAGCATCCCTTCCATGATATTTTCTTCATTAATTCTTGGAAAATCCCGTCTTCCACATCAGCATATTGCATCTCTCTGAAGTTGGTTCAGGCACTGGAACTGCAGTCCAACTAGATGGAATCCTAAGGCTTTTCATGGGACCATTGTAATAAAGTAGTCTTTATTCTAGACGTGAAGAGAGGTTGGAAAGCTATTGGAACTTCTGATGAAACATGTGTGCCAAATCAAGCTAATCCAGAAGAACTAAGAAATATAAAGATAGATATATAGTATACATATATGGTCTCTGCATCTATTTCTGAGTTTTTCAGTTTCACAAACAAATTCCTTTTATTGTCTCAATACAGATTGAAGATATTTCCCCCCATTTGCTTCTAAAGCTTCTTGATTAATAAAACCATTTACCAGGTGAGTGGCTTCAAACGAGACATTTGCATTTTTACTACTTTCCAGCAAATGGGGTGTGCAAGTCTATACCACAGCGAGTTCTTTTGATGATACGAGGGGAAAACAAACATCACTCATGTGAACAGTCATAGACAATGACCCTCACTTGCAGATGCATCTACAAGACCCATTTTACCTCTGTTCAATTCAAGGAACCTGGTCTGAAATGTACAGAAATCCTAAATACATTGTGATTAAGATGGGAACCCTTCCACCCAACCATAAAACCTCAATTAATAAAGATATTACAAAAGGGAATCTTGATGTAAGGTGCATTGTGTTTGGGAAGCTAGACATGTGTCCTCCTCTGTGGGACCATCAGCTCCCCGAGGACATCAGCCCTGTCCATTCCCACCACACCCGACGCGGTGCTAGGTGCAGTGCAGACTCTCCCACATCAGCAGCAAGGGCTAGGGATGGGCTAAACTCTCAGTGAACTCCTCCCTAGAAAATTTATCTTGAAGAATAAAATACCAACAAAAATCAAGGTGGAGTTGGTTTTTGACTGAACATTAAACTTCCAGTGGACTTGGAACTTCGTGTGTGTTCATCACTGTGTTTCTGTCTTGTCTGTCTATAGTCCTGTTAGACTTTCTATCATTCACTTATTGAATATCTGTCATGAGTCAGGCTCTGAAAAGGGCTCTGCCAGGGTAATCTGTTAAAATTAACCACGTTAACTGAAGTTTCACAAACTCGTGTTTCTGCTGAATGCATCAACTCCATTATCTGAGTGTGTTATGACCTCATTTGCAACCCAGGTCATCCACTGGAGCTTGGAGCAAGCACAAAAGTGTTCCAGAGGTCACAATCACACCCTGGCCTCCTGGGGGATGTTTCCATATCAGAAGCAGTCTGTTTTTACAGGAATCTGAACAAACTAGACTATGGCTGCTATTTGGGAAATAGTGTTTAAAAAAAAAGGCCCCTTTAAAAAAGAAAGAAAAAGTGGCAGCTCTGGTTAATCAGGACAGCTCCTGGCCCTGGCACTTCTACACCATGCTTTGGCACCTCTGACTTCATTAAAGAGGCAAGTGACCAAAACCTTGGGTGAGACACCCAATTGGAAAGGCAGGAGGAAAACCCGGGGCTGTTATGGTTGCTCGGGAGCCCTGAGCGAAGTCTGGGCCGAGTCTCACTTTCTACGTCCACGCTCAGGAAGCCCCTGCACCACTTCTGCATCACTGCTGTGGCAGATGACCCCAGACTTAAAAGCACACGTGTCATCCCGCACGTTCTTATGTCAGAAGTCTCAGCAGCTTCATCTGGGTTCTGTGTTCAGAGTCTCGCCAGGCTGAAGCAAAGGTTCCATTGTCTGGGATCCCATATGGAGGCTCTGGGGGAGAACCCACCTCCAGACTCATTCCGATTGCCAGCAAAACTTGGCTCCATGTGACTGTATGACTGAGGTCCCCACTTCCTTGCTGGCATTTGAGCAGGACTCATTCTCAACTTCTACAGGATACCACATTCCTAGGCTTGCAGCTCCTCCGTCTCCAAGATCAGAAGGAGCACATGCAATCTTTTTCGTACTTCAACCCCTCTGAATTCATCTTCTGCCCATAGGCAGGAGAAAGTTCTGCTGTAGACTCAGGTGATTACATCAGGATCATCCAGGACAGTTCAGTTCAGTCACTGAGTCGTGTTCTACTCTTTGCGACCCCATGAACCACAGCACGCCTGGCCTCCCTGTCCATCAGCAATTCCCGGAGTCCACCCAAACCCAAGTCCATTGAGTTGGTGATGCCATCCAACCATCTCATCCTCTGTCGTCCCCTTCTCGTCCTGCCTTCAATCCCTCCCAGCATCAGGGTCTTTTCCAATGAGTCAGCTCTTCGCATGAGGTGGCCAAAGTACTGGAGCTTCAGCTTCAGCATCTGTCCTTCCAATGAACACCCAGGACTGATCTCCTTTAGGTTGAACTGGTTGGATCTCCTTGAAGTCCAAGGGACTCTCAAGAGTCTTCTCCAACAACCACAGTTCAAAAGCATCAATTCTTCAGCACTCAGCTTTCTTTATAGTCCAACTCTCACATCCATACATGACTACAGGAAAAAATCGAAGATAAGATGCCTACTTTAAGGTCACTTGATTAGTAACCTTAATTACATCCACAAAGTCCCTTTAACCATGTAAGGAAACGCATTCACAGGCGTGACGCTAGGGGCTGGATCACAGGGACCAAAATTCTGTGGCTCACACCCACCCGCAACAGACGTGAGTGCAGGTCGCCATGAGTCCTGCTCATTCCCAGCTCGTGGAGTTGACGATAAACTTTGAAAGGCACGTAAAACTGGAGGGAAATGCATCACTTCTACTTCACCTTTAGAATTATTATTTTCTACACATACGGGATCTGATTCCTGGCAGGAAAGAAACACCAGGAGATTGTTCTAGGCTGAGCAAGCCTACCGGGACGTGTGAGCAGTGATCCTCACCCCATGAGGAAGGCAGGTGGGGCTGCAGAGACTAAAGTCGTGTATCTGAACCAAGGGAAAAGGTTCAGAGAACATAATGAGGTAAAACTGATTTATGTAAGGTAGTGACCATAACAGGTAGCTTTAAAGAAACCAGAAGAAGGATATAGATATAGATGTATATACACATATAGACACACATATCAGTTCAGTCCAGTTCAGTCGCTCAGTCGTGTCCGACTCTCTGTGACCCCATGAATCGCAGCACGCCAGGCCTCCCTATCCATCACCAACTCCCGGAGTTCACTCAAACTCATGTACATCGAGTCGGTGATGCCATCCGGCCATCTCATCCTCTGTCGTCCCCTTCTCCTCCTGCCCCCAATCCCTCCCACACATATATTGAACACTACATATTTTACATTTTATTTTATTAATATTTTGTTTTGGGTACCATGCAGCTTACAGGATCTTAGTTCCTCAACCAGGGATTGAATTCGGCTCTTGACAGCTGAAAGTACCAAGTCCTAACCACTGGACCACCAGGGAACTTCCTACATTTTACACTTTACACTGGGTTTGAAAAGAAAAGGAGAAGGTAGTGTTCACTGCAAACTGATTTCTGCCCCAGCTGGCATCTCTGCTAAACGCGGCCTTGCCTTGTCCATGATGCTGGTAAGAGTCAGCATTTTCCGAGGGTCCTGGGCACGGCCGAAGCGTCTCATTCAGGCAGCAGCCTTACAGCATGAATGCTGTGCAGGCATCACAATCAGCGCTCTTCAGAGGTAAGAAAAAGAAGCGTAGGCGCAGTTAGGATGCTTGCCCAGAGCGCACGCCGATGGAGCCTGAAGCCGGACGACAGCCCCAGCGGTCTGATTCCAGGACTCGGGCTCTTCAGGGTCTCTGTTTTTTCCAGGAAAACATTCTCCAGATTCAGCATGAGGCATCTGGAAGACGTAAACATTGTAGTAACAAGAGGCTGCAGAAGCAACGAGGTCAGTCATGGCCTCTTGAGCCTGCAGCAGCAGAAGATGGGAGCGAAGATTGCAGAAAAGGCGGTGGGGTTACTTCTGCATTTTAAGACATGCGAAAAGTGGGCCGGCAATTGTGCCTCAGGCAGTCTGCATCTACCCACATCGAAGGTTCCAATGATCCCAGGCAGCTGCAGTTAATGTCCTCAGATACGTTACTAATTCAAATCAACTTTTAAAAAGTAAATTTAGGGACTTCCAGGTGGCTCAGTGGTGAAGAACCTGCCTGCCAATGCAGGAGATGCAGGTTCAATCCCTGGTTAGGAAGATCCCCTAGAGGAGGACATGGCACCCGCTCCCAGTATCTTGCTGGGAGAATCCCGTGGACAGAGGAGCGTGGTGAGCTACAGTGCATAGGGGTGCAAAGCAGCGGGACACGACTGGGCGACTGAGCGTGCATGCACAAGCGGCCCAGGAGTTAGGACTCTGCTCTTCCTCTGCAGGGGGCGCAGGTTCTATCCCGGGTCTGGAAAAGTTTGCATGCCACGAGGTGCAGCCAAAAAATAAATAAAGCTTTTTTTAAAAAAATTAAAAAGTAAGTTTAGTTGAAAAGTTTTGAACTGGAAACCAAAATTTGCAGATTTAGGCAATATGACTGAGACCGATTCATTTTAGAATCATCCTGCACAAGTCCTAGAAGTGTTCACAAAATTTTGGACTACAGACTCTTATGTCCAGAGATTTCCAGAGATATGCACAGAAATAGGGTTGTTCCTCTCTCCTGACTCTAATTGCTGTAGCCCTGGTGTGACAGGCTGTTATGGCCCCTAACTGCTCACACCCCAATTCCCAGAACCTACAAATCTGTTAACTTATGCGGCAAAAGTGACTCCCTGTGGCTGAGAATCCTTCTGAGATGGAATGATCTTGAGACACTGGATCATCCAGGTAGGTCCAACAGAGACTCAGATGTGCCGCACAGCCCAGGTTAGAGATAGAAAGGTGTGAAGACCATGCTTGCTGGCTTCACTTCCTGACCCAGGGAGTAACCCCGGGTCTCCTGCATAGCAGCAGATTCTTTACCATCTGAGCTCCCAGAGACGCCCTTAAAGGTGGAAGAAGGGGGTTCATGTGAGGCAAGGAGGGCGGTGGGTGGGCTCTGCCCTCTAGAAAAAGCAACCACCAATTCTCCAGAGCCTCCAGAAAACATGGTCCTGCTCACACATTGATTTTAGGACATCTCATTTCCAAAACTGAAGGCGACAAATCTGCCGTGTTTTAAATCACTAAATTTGTGGGCATTTGTTTTCACAGCTGCAGGAAACTAATATATCTGGTCATACGGTTTAGCTGTGCTGAGCTTCTCCGATCCTCAATCTTCTTTTTCCCCTCTGTTAACATGGGGAGTCATTCTTCTCGCACAGGAAATCGTGAAGATGAAATATTACAAGGTAGGCATGAGATGAAAGTTAACTCCCTTACCTGGCTGGCACAGTCAGCACTCAGAAAAAAAAAGACTCCTGCCTCTCTAGGCAACACTTCTTTCTTCTCTATAACTGGGTTTCTAATGCAAGCCCAAGGGGTGAGAGGGGGGCAGACACCTGAATTTTGTCTTATGTACCAGAGCTTCTTTGATGGATTCCTTGCTGTTGTTCAGTCACTTCATGTCCGACTCGTTGCAACCCCATGGACTGCAGCACCCCAGGCTTCCTTGTCCTTCACTGTCTCCTGGAGTTAGCCCAGATTCAGGTCCACTGAGTCGGTGATGCCATCCAACCATCTCATCTTCTGCTGTCCTCTTCTTTCGCCTTCAGTCCTTCCCAGGGTATCACTACGAATAAGTTGGAGGCAGGTTGTTGCCAATGTTATTACACATAAAGGCAACCTAGCTGCACATAAAGACTGCCACCTGAGAATTAACTTTCTGGGCAAATCACACCACATAACTTAGCAGATGGCTACCAAGGAAGCTTCCTTGGAAACACAATTGCCAAGTTCAGAAGCTGAAGCTAGAAAAAGAGACCATTTTGCCAGCAGTTCTCCTGTTGTAGCTGGCTGAAACGTCTCCCCAGAGCCTCTAGTCCAAAAAAGCCTTTCCTGAATCTTGAGGATTCGTTTAGATTTCATTGCTTTTTTGTCCCTGCCTTCAATTTATGATCCCCTCATAGCTGAAGTTTAAGTGACAAGCTCAGCTTCAGTTCCTGCAGCTTGCCATCAGGCGACACCAGCCAAAGCTTTCTTACCACAAAGTTTATTCTCTCCTGATGGCGCAGTTGTGCCTTAATGCACACCAGGCTGAAATTACCAATAGAAATGTAGCCCAGGTTCTGCAACATGACGTTGTATTCTTTGCCTCTTCTCTCTGATAACTGTTTTTGTTACCCTATTAGCCAGATGCAAACAGATTTTGAAGTCATCTACACAACACTTATAGTCTTGCCTCTTCTTTTATGAAAATAGTCTTTACTTTCTTTGTGTGAGGAAAATACATATGAACGATTTCAGACACCTCAGCAACAAAAATGCAGAAGTCACATTTAAACTTTAATCAAAGATGGTTACCTGAAAGTTGTAAATAAAAATGAACATATGACATCATGGATACAGAAAGAGGTTGCAAATAATCTTCAGAAAGTTGCATTCTCTCTAACTCGGGCCAGACCAAAACTACGACTTGGTCCTCCTCCTCTGCTGGTATTTCTGAATTTCGCTTTGGTTTTGGCTGTCTGGTTCATAGTTGTAGTGATAACAAAAGCCTTGCAATTTAAAAGCAATGAAATTCTCAGTTGATAGGGCTTGGAAAGCTATAACCAGCAAAGCTGACTGTGTTACAAAGAAGTTTGCTCTCAAAAAAAAAAGGCAGCAGGAAACTCAGATGCTGCAGCTGCCCACCAACCAACTGAATCCCCACCGAACTCCACATCTGCAAAGATAATTAAGCTATAATTAAATGCTCCGTCCCACTTTAAGCAATGGATCACACAGCTTAAGCACTTTTCCACTGGGATTGGACAGTCACGTGTCCTGAGGAGAAAACAACTTCGGATTGATTTTCCTTCACTGTGTAAACAAGTAAATGAAATAATCCATTTTTGGAGCAAATGGCAGGAGTTATAGGCTTGCTCCGCCCCGAACCTGGTCTAAATGAAATTTGCATTGCACATGGCCGTGCAAGATCACTTCTGAAAATAAAGGATAGAACACAGCAGAGGAAACTGCCGCCAGCCAAGGAAGGCCTGAGGTGGTTGGCTCCGAGAACAGGACCTCAGTCTCTCAAGGAACACGCTGATGGCAAAGGAAAGAGTATTTTAAAAGTGGAGACTTAGGGGGGCAGATAGGGTTTTGGACTTGAGAGAATTCCTTTGCTGTGGAGTCGAAGGGCTATGTGAAAGGATTTGGATCATAATTACGAAAGGGGGCAAAAACATAGGAGACGTCATTCCAAGCATACGCGTCAGACTCCACTCTCAAGATTCTGTGTGCTCGATGAACGCCGTAACAGCTTTGCCCGGCAGGCTCTGCCTTTACTTTCCGCCTCTTCCAAGGGGCCTCCTCGGACCATCCTCTGCGAAGGGCCCCCGTCGCCCTCAGCCCTGAGCACTCACTGGCGCTGTTACAGGAGGGGGTGCCGTTTTCTGCTCGGCCAGTGACACCTGAGTCTCTTGAAGTCACGGGCGTGTGTCATTCCCCGAGCGCTTGTCAACGCCTCTAACGGGTTATCATCCTGTGGCTCCGTGCTGCATGATACAGAGGGCAGAGCTTATGGCGACTTTCCAAAGTTTATGGGGACATAGACGGCAGAACTCAGAGTGGCCAAGGGTCCAAGTTTGAGTTCATCTGAATCAAGGTGAGTCTCCAACCAATGTTTTAAGCTACAAACCAGGCAAAGGCCTTCTCCCCTTAAACATGGCCTGAAACTTGCCTGCGTAGGTCTGCTTTTCATAAATACAGTTGTAAATCCATCAAGATATAAGATTTCAAAAGACCAGAGATCTAGTTCTGCCTTCAACTTGTGATCTTCTCGGCGTCTCTCTCTTCAGATAGGTAGACACACACCCGGAGAGAGGAGAGAGATGTGTATTCCTTCTTTCTGCCATCTTTACCTCCTGCCCATATAAAACCCAAATCAGTGAATTATATATTGCCAGAAGACTAGAACAGGCTACCCCCACTACATTAAGCTTGCTTCTTCTCAAGTTCAGTCCAGGGCATTTATTCCAAATGATTAATAAGCAAGAGGGTTCCACAAACTCACTGAATGATCCCTTCTGGGACTCAGAGGGATTATCACGATAGAGGGTAAAATGGGTTAGAAAAAAATGGAAGTAGAGAAGCAATGCGCAGTGTGTGTTTAGAAAGTCAAGCTCCTCTGCCAGAAAGGACTTCTCAACATCACTGAATACAGTGTTTCACAACCTGCCTTCAAAATACCACATTAGTCTTCCTTAGTGTTGTGTGTGTAAGTGTATGTGTCTGTGAGTGTGTGTGAATGTGTGTGCGCGCAAGTGTCTGTGAGTGTGTGTGTGTCTGAGTGTGTGAGAGTGTGAATGTGTGTGTGCATGCGTGTGTGTGTGCATGTGTGAATGTGTGTGCGTGTGTGTGTGTGCACATGTGAGTGTGTGCGTGTGTGTGTGTGAGTGTGTGTGTGTTCGCGTGCATGCTCAGTCACTCAGTCTGTGTCTGGCTCTTTGCGGCCCCATGGACTGCAGCCTGCCAGGCTCCTCTGTCCATGTGGATTCTCCAGGCGAGAACACTGCAGTGGGTTGCCAAGTACTCTTCCAGGGGATCTTCCCAAGCAGGAGACTGAACCCTCGTCTCTCACATCTTCTGTAGTGGCAGGTGGGCTCTGGGAAGTCCAGACTGGGTGGGCTCACCCACCTTTTCACCGAATTCTCTCTTCATTCCACCCCAGGATGCTTGCATGGCATCTTCTGATGCTCAGCTTCCAAGAAGGCTGCCACTCAGTTGTGTTTTTGAGTTGGTTTATTGTCAACCATGAGCACACAGTCTAGCTGCCAGTTATAAACATACAGCCTAGACCTGAAGACAGAACCCCCTTCTAGTCAAATGTTGCATTTTGTGGCAGACACATGGAATTCCTTGATTCTGAGTGGCACTCATCTGAAGTTACTTGTTTTATGCCACTATTTGTGATAAACCTGTTTTATTTGTATAATTTTTACAAGTAGTATTTTTAAGTTAAAAAAAAAGAACATGAATCACAAGAAACGCCAACTTTGGGAGCTTTTAACGAGACCTCTTCCTTCCCCGCAAAGCTTTGCAGGACTGTCACAGTCGTCCCGTTCCTTTTTAAATTTTTATTTATTCATTTCTTTCGGGCTGTGCACAGGTTTCCTCTAGTTGTGGAGCTCGGACTTCTCATCATGGGGCTTCTCCTGCTGTGGGGCACAGCCCTTCATCCTGAAACTGGTGATGTTTGGCTTCCTCTTCTGGAGAATGCTACCTTTGTCTGTGATGGTCTCCGAGGTCCATTCTGGTTCTAGATTTCTGTATGGAGCCACATCGCAGCCCTGTACTTGAATTATAGCCCTGCCTTTCAGGGACAAGCCAGGGAGAGACCAATTTAAGGGTGTGGCCTTTGGATTCAGGTCCCCAGGTTCACATCCAAGGTGATCATCTACAGCCTTCATGACGTGGGAGAAATACAGTCCTCCCTGGGTGTGTGCAGGAGAACTGGTTCAGGAAGGCTCATGGGTACCAAGATCTGCAGATGCTCCGGTCCTTCATGTAAAAACACTGGGTGGATTCCCCTTCCCTGCCACACCTGTGGGCTCCATATCCATGGATTCCACCAACTGTGGTCTGATTCTGGTTTGGCTGATCCACAAATGCAGAATCTGTAGGTAATGGAGGGAGGACTCTATCAGGTACAGTCTGGGCTTTAGCTTCCGCATATATAGAGGAGAGTCATTGATTCAGTTAGAATCTATGTGAAGGGCAGGAAAAGAGACAGAAACATAAAGAACAGGCTTCTGGACACAGTGGGAGAAGGAGAGGGTGGGATGATTTGAGAGAAAGGCATTGAAACATATGCATTGTCATGTGTGGAATAGACAGCCAGAGGGAGTGTGACGTCTGGTGATGGGAACCCAGAGCGGTGCTCTGACTGCAGGGGAGGGGAGGGGTGGGGAGGGAGGGGGGAGGGGGCTCGGGAGGGAAGGGCCATGGGTCTGCCTCTGGCGGATTCACGCTGATGTATGGCAGAGGCCATCACAGTATTGCAAACTAATTATCCTCCAATTAAAGTAATTTTTTAAAAATCAGGTATTCTTAAATACTCTGCCAGTGTAGGAGGCACAGCGAAGAATAAGCAAATGAGCTCGTGTTTGTGAAGCTTCGTGGGGCTTACGATCCGGTGAATGTAGTAGTACTCACCTCCTCGCGTTACTGTGGAAATTAAATGAGGACTAATCATAGAGTGCGCAGAGCAGCTCAAGGCATGTAATAATTAATATCACATAATGATTACAGTCATACAATTGCTATAATAACAGAATGCTGCAACAATGCTCAGTGTTGCTATTGTTATGGCAATTATTTAATAATAATTTACAGAACCACCACATGGGGTTAGTGTGACGATCAAATGGCTAATTTATGTAAAATTTATGTAAAAACATCTAGAAATCGTTCAGTACATTTCTTCTATTGCAATGATTGCTAGGTTAAGTGGTTTTGCCAAAGGCACAGAGTAAGTTATGGGCAAAGCTGAACTGAGAATTTCTGCAACATGGCTAAGCCATTTTGCACACCTATCAGGCTGTAATGCAATTAGATGATTTCATGTCTGTCTCCCTGGTTCAGCCTTGAACTATCCATTCTGTCTGACTCAGATCCTTCCTGCTGGGCCCCACCTGGGATCTCACCAGAACCTCAGCATCATGAGGTTAGACATCTGGTATCTGTAGGGACCTTATATCATTATTCATTTATCCAACATTGGATTCATCCAAATAAATATTTGGCAAGGCCCTGACAGGCTCATCCCCCTCCCAGGAGGCCCATCCTCAGAACGTGGCATGTAGCAGGTGTCCCACACTATAAATATTCATGAACTGGACACACATGTCAGGCTCCAGTCCCCAGTGAGATGAAATTCTAGTGGAGGACAAGCTACTACCACAGGTCACGATACGGAAGCGGCTCCAAAGCAGTCTGCCAGGTGACAGGACCAGGTGCCACCATGCGTGCCTGCTCAGCGGCTCGGCCATGTCTGATTCTTTCCACTGCCAGACTCCTCCGTCCATGGGATTTCCCAGGCAAGAATACTGGAGTGGGCTGCCATTTCCTTCTCCAGGGATTCTTCCTGACGCAGGGACTGAACCCACATCTCTGCAGTGGCAGGCAGATTTTTTGCACTCGCTCCCGAGAAGCCCACTGTATTGCATTGTACTGTATTGCATTGCACCTTATTGTTCAGCTCAGTTCAGTCGCTCAGCTGTGTCTGACTCTTTGTGACCCCCATGTCCCGCGACCCCATGGACTTCAGCACCTTACTGTACTGTATTGTAATACAATTGTCTTAGTGCCCAGAACAGGCAAACCCAGAGAGACAGAAACCACATCAGCAGTTGCTTGGGGGTTCCTGGGCTTAGAGGTGGGAACTAGGTTGAACTAAAGATGGCACAAGGGATTTGGGGGGCATGAAAGAAATGTTCTAAAAATGAACTAGGGTGATAGCTGCACAATTCTATAAATGTACTAAAATGAGTGGATTTATAATATGAAAATTGTACCTCCACAAAGCTATTTTAAAGCCAAATATTCCAGTGGAGGGACAGGCCTTCAACAACTGGTTCCTCAGTTAGTCATTTGGGTCTGGCTCTGGTAAGTTCTAATGAGGGAAAGGCAAGGTTTCTGATTCACTACCCCAGCCTGCAATCTGGGTGGTGGGGGTCCCAGAAAGGTCTTTGAGGATGGGTCTTATGAGGTGGGGTCTGGGGGCTATGGAAGGCAGAATTCAGTCTGTGAGGGGCTCAGGGATGGGCAAGACCGCAACCGTGTGGGTACGTGGCGGACCAGAGAGGGGTGGCGTCTGTGTGGCTGGATCCCCGACTCTGTGGAGTGGAGGGGCTCACGGGCAGGGACGCGCACACGGGGTCTTCTCAGAACTCCGTCCTGGGCCCCAAGGAGGGCAGCGGGGCGACGGCACCAGAACCCACGGCTGGGCAAGGGCGCCGTAAAACTAACGGAGCGGCTGTCCGCAAAATGACTTCCAGACGGCCTTGGGCTCGCCCCCTGGTGAGCCAACACCACAGCTTCCTGTAAGGGTCTCCACAGAGTCCACGAGACCCGTGTCCTGCGCAGGGCTGGTTCAGACTGCAACAGGGAGAAAACTCCTGCAGGGTGAGTCTGGTTTATGAAACATCTGAATCGAGGTGAAAGCGATCGGAGAACCCTTGGGTTCATCCCCTAAGAGATTTCAAAGAACGGTTCCTAAGAATCTCCCCTACACACACCTGAAAAGCTTTCAGACGAATCAGGTCAACATCACCAGGAAGTCACGGTCCATTCTTAGTAAATGTGCATTAAGAGGCTAGTGTTGGGAGCACGCCTGGGTTTGCAGACAAGCCTTAGAACTTCCAGCCAGAGAGGCCCGGCAGGTTCTTGGTTTAGACGAAACATGCTCCGAGGACGCTCACCCATGAGACAGAGCCAGGTCACCTCAGCGTGAGGGAGAAGCTGAGCATCTGTTTTCAAGAAGAGCTTTTTTTAAAGAAATCTCCATTTTAAAAACGTTACACACCCATGCACACACACCTTCTATCTGAAAAGGCCTGCGTTCTCATTGTAAAACGCTTCTTTTATTCCCCTGCATTCTTCTAAAAATGCACACAGGACTTCACTATCAGCAGAAGGTCTCGAGTCAGCCCACGTCCGTGGGGAAGCCGGGTTCCGTGTGACGATGACGCCCTGCTCTGCCAGCGCTTCTCTCCAGAGCCGGGCATGCATCACGGGCGTCTCACAACCCAGCCCCCTGGCTGGCTCTCTGTGCTAGCCACCCTCCGCCCACCACCTCACACACCCCAGCTTCGAGCTGCTACTTGAGAAAGGGGAGGGCTCAGGTCTCCACGCACGGCTGAGACGGCCCAGCGGGCAGGGACTGTGTCACGGCCCCAGAGGGGCTTGGGCTCCGCTCCCACCTGAGCTTCCTGCTCTTACTGATAAGGCGAGCCGAGGAACAGGGACCTGAGTGCAGCAGAAGGGGTTCACAGACATGGACTCAACTATTTTCAAACTGTGTGTATAGCATATGCATCTAACTTAATGCGTGCATACGTGTATATACATGTGACTGCACTCAGACATATATTTACACACACGCACACACATGCCCATGTTTCCCTTTAGGAAAATGAACCAGCCTTTTAAAATGGGGAGGTCACAGTATTGGGTTGGCCAAAAAGTCTGTTCAGTTTTCAGTGAAAATAAAAGACCTGTTTTTCATATTCAGCAAGAACTTTATTAAACAATGTATTCACTAACCAAATGAACTTTTTGGCCAGCCCAATAGATAATGCCTTGCTCAAAACCCTCCAAAACCTCACACTGCACCCAAGATGAAGTTCAAAACCTAGGACCTGCAAAGCTCCATATAATCTGTGTGATTTCAGCCTCAGCCCCCAAATCTCACCTGCCTTCTTTTCTCCCATTTTCTTTTTACGTCATCAGAGCCACTCATATTCTGTGCTGTTCCTCCAACACCTCCCTCCCACCCCACCTCAGGGCCTTTGCACCTGCCGTTCCCGCTGCCGGGGGCAGGTTCTTTCCCGGATCACTGCATGACTCAGTCCCTCAGTTCTCCACCCACGTCATTTCTAACACACAGGTTTCCTCGACCACCTGTCTCACTCCTTTGGTTTCCCTTCCAGCAGCTTCCTCACCTAACACACTGTTCACATAGCACTTATTGACCAAGCCCACCCCATTCTCATGAATCCTCTGTGACCGGGAGCTTGTTGTATTCATCTCAGGGCCTCCGGGCCCACAAGGCTCTGAGCAGGAAGACACGGGGAGGCGGCAACTCACCCAGCTCCCCTGCCGAGAGGGCAGGACCACGTCCAGCACACCGCATCGGCAAACCCCTGCCTGGGAAATGCCGGGTCAGGAGCAGGCGGCTCAGAAGAGAGCCAGCCGCTGGCAGAGGGCCCTGTCAGCGCGCGGGGGAGGCTCTAGGTGCCAGACCCTCAGCGGGCAGGCCGGCGGGCCTCAGAGCCACAGCGCAGACAGCAGGCCCGTGAGGAGGAAGCACGGGGCTGGGTGGCCGCATGCTCTTCGTCGTGGGGAAGTCGCCTCTGATTTTGCATCTGGGGTCTCTGTGGGCACAGTGGCTGAAACTTCAGAAGCTAGTGGTGTGGTGGTAAGTCACCTCAGTCGTGTCTGAATTTTTGTGACTCCAGGGACTGTAGCCCACCAGGCTCCTCTGTCCATGGGATTCTCCAGGAAGAACGCTGGAGTGGGTTGCCAAGGCCTCCTCCAGGGGGTCTTCCTGACCCGGGGCTGAACCCGTGTCTCCTACATCTCCAGCCCTGGCAGGCGGGTTCTTTACCACTAGTGCCACCTGGAAGCTAGACCTCTGGTGAAAACCCGCCTGCAGACCAGATGAGGCCCTCCCAACCAAGTCTATTGCAAAGGGACGCAGCCCGGTGGGCACAGCTGACGCTCCCGGGGCAGAAGGCGGCCAGGAGGGGGACGTCTCAGCCCCCGGGGCCCCAACAGAACTGCCCCTTCCTCCTGCCCCGTCTCAGAAAGAGCGGCAGGCCACACGCTGCTTTAGTCGGGCCTGAGGGAGGAGCAGGCCTCCTGGTCTGATCTCTTGCTCCTCGCCCACTTTTCTACCCCACCCCACCCCAGCCAGGGTCTAGTTCACCTCCAAGAGGCGATTCTATGCAGCGAAGGAGCGGGCTCCGCCCCACTTCTCACGGGGGGCGATCCAGCGGGCTTGCGGACAACAAGCGCAGAGCATCGCCCCTTCACAAACGCGAGGAGGAGAGGAGGCGGAAGCCAGGAGGGGCCAAAGGGAAGCCGCCAGCAGCCCCGGAAGGAGGGTCATCCCCTCAGAGAGCAGAGGCTTCTGAAGACCCCAGCCAGGGGGGAGGGCTGGGGACGGAGCTGGGGGAGGCGGAGATCTCAGCAAGCCCAGGGCCTGGGCAGAGGAGGAGCCGTGTGGGCCCCGGGAGCACGGACACGTGGATCTATCCACACACCGTCCGGACCGCCAGGGAGGAATGATGATGCTCGCCCGGCACCTCGTGGCTCCTGGCCCCAGACAAGCACTTCCAGGCACTCCCTGCTCCATTGGCTGGTGAACCGGCTCCTGTGAGGCCAACTCCCCTCCTGCAGGGAAGGCTGAGCACGCTTTCCTCCCAGGGAGCTGTCCTGATTCAACGCCATCGCGGGAGGCGGGGGAGGGCACAGGAAAGCTACATGGGGCACCTCCCACGGGTCAAAGAGAGACAGAACCAACACCACGGCCGGGGTTCCCCTCCGCCCCTCCCAGCTCCTCCGGTCCGTCCTTCGCAGCCCCGGCCCTCCGCCCCTGGCTGAGCAGAAGCGGCGCTTCACCTCGGCGGGGTGCTCTGGCCTGAGCTTCTCCAGAGACACGGGCTGAAAAAAACACCATTTGGTATTGCATACTCTGTTTCTTAAAACAAGCCTTTGAGCAGCAGGTCTTCTGTCCAAACCCGCGCGCCTTGGAGAGCAGGGCTGGGAGACTCACCTCACTTTCTCGCCTCGCCCTCCAGGAAGTCCTCCGGGCCTCTGCATGCAGGTTTCTGCTCTCTGCTCTCTCCTGTGGCTGCACTTGCTGAGAAGATGCTGGGAATCAAGCAGACGTTTCCCCTGCATACAGTCTGCATAGCAGTCGCTGCAGAAATAAATATGATGGGCTTGGCGTGGCGGGGTCTATGGAGACTGCCATGAGATAAATAAAACAGGAAAACTGTGTAAGCTGTTTCTACTTTATTAGCTATAAACCCGGGCTCAGGCAGTGATCAGAGAATCCGGCAGACATCATTCAACAGAAAGGGGCTCCTTCCTTGGCTGGACTTTCCATTTTTTTCCAAATGAGAATGTCGCCACCTGGTGGCAGATCTCCAAGTCGCCACCGGCAATCTCCGAACCAACTCGGAGATAAAATTCAACTCAAACCAGAGCGCAGAGGTCAGCGGCTGGCAGAGAGGAGGAGCTGTGGATAATAGGAGCACAGATTTTAAATTACTTGCTGGCCTTGTAAAGTCCCGCGTATACAGTTTGTTCCCGGGAGATCAAACCTCTTACAAATCCTTCTCTGTTCTTCTGCAGCGCTCATCTTCCCGGACTGTGGTTTTCCAGGTCTTCTGTCTCTTCTTGCTACTAGATATTCTGATTGTATCCTTTATTCAGTGCTTCACCTGTCACTCCCTGGAGGGGTCATGGCCACCCACTCCAGTATCCTTGTCTGGAGAATCCCGTGGACAGAGGAGCCTGGCGGGCTGCAGTCCATGGGGTCGCAAAGAGCCAGAGACGACTGAGCAACGAGCTGCCCAGCACAGCGCGCTACCCGTCTTCTCCGAGGGTCCACAGAGACTTCTCCAGCTGCCTTGAATTTCCACCGCCTCCTCCAGCCCCCCGATGCAAACACCTTTGTGCCACAAAATACACAACCTGACACAAGAATCTGCTCAATGCTCCTGGGCTGTTAGAACCTCTCGTCTGAGGTCTGCGCCTCTGAACCTCTTAAAGATCTATGCCACGGTCTCCAACTGGAAGTCACAGGGACAACCCAGCCTGGAGGTAGCTGAGTTTTAACATTCAGACAGGAAAAAAAACAACAGCCATTGTTTCAATATTGGGAGATTCCACATAAAAATTTGAATGTCTAGAATTTCTTACAAAAAAAAAGAAACACTATCTGCTAGGCACTATAAGCATGAAATAGGCATGTTTCTGTTTTCCCTCACGGTACCACACTGTCGTACCATTAAAACCAGGTCTGAATTTCAGTTGCCACTTATCATTATGCTTGCTCTGGGCTTTTCTTATAGTTGAGAAATATTTTTATATCCATGTCTCCATTAAAAGTAGGAAAAATAAGCAGTAGCCCAATATTCAAAACACAAAGGCAGATGGCATATTTCTCTGGGATCTTGTCCATGTAATGCACAAACATACGATCCACTTTATTTCTGTTATTTCTCTGACCGTTTGTGAGATTCGGATGTGTTGCCTCGGTTTGCCGTAAGAAGCCCCGGTGCTCACTGCGAAAGGCTCTCCCTGCCCAGCCCCGCCCACGGTCCGTCTCCCGCTGCCTGTAGATCAGAGACGGGTAAATCCATTTCTTTAAAGGGCGTGAAAACAAGATGCCGCTCTGAGCCATACGGTCTGTCACAGCTGCTCAGCTCTGCTGTTACAGCACAAAAGCATCCTTGATATGGAAACAGATAGACATAGTGGTGTGCCAATAAAACTTTATTTGTGTAAGGAGACAACAGGCTCCCGATCCCTGCAATAGGACATCTATCCATCGTTCCATCCTCCTTTCGACATCACTTCTTGCATCCTTGGTCAGGCTCACCTGTGATACATTCTCAGTGAAATAACTCTGTTTCAAATCTTTCCTTCCCCACCAGGCTGAAAGCTCCAAACTCAAAGAGCAGAAACTCATGCAACACGCAAAGATGGGGCTAAAGGAGGGGCTGAGCACCAGACGAAGGGCAGAGAGCTCTGGCTGCAGCGAGACAGAGGCTGACCGCTTGTCTCCAGGGACAGATCCACACGGGAGCGCCTCACGGCTGACATGGGAACCCACTGCATCGGGGACCCAGGCGTCTTCTGGCTCATCCCCTCCCTTAAGAAAGCTCCCAAGCCCAGGGTGCAGGTGGCGTGCCAACCCCTACCACTGTGTTAGCACGAAGGAGCTTAAATTCTAGAGCACGTTTCTCAGTGTAGGTGAAGATCAATGAAGGTAACTAGAAGTCATGGGAGACTCTGCCACAACCACTTTTATCTTATTCGCTTGTTTGTATATTAAGTAAATTGGTTCTCCATAAGGATTAGTTATTGTCAAAACTCCAAGCATGCTGCTGCTCCAGGCTTCTGCCTGGAATATTCAAGATTCCACACAACATACAAGTGAAACACCCCATATTTATTTATCTGCTCTCTTTCCAGATACTAGCAGAGTGTTGATTTAATTAAAATGAACAAAACCCCACAGTTAGAAATTAACTCCTTTGACTTAGACTATGCCCCTTATTTGATGAGTACCGCCTCCACAAGATCTATCTCAAAAAGGGACTTCCAACCAAACGTTTCTACTCCCTCAGTCCTGCACGGAGTCAGTAGGACTGCTGGACCTCAGAGGACAATGCTGGGTGAAACAGGGGGTATTTCAGAGATAACTAGCCAGACTTCTTAGTACTTCAGCAAAAGAATCCAGGGCCTTTGTACAGTCTAGGTGAAGAAGGAACCCGGAGAGTAGCTGAGACAGATTTGCCAATCAGTCCACCTGGACGGGGGCCAAAGAGGAATTTAATTTAATTGAAAAGAAATTTGGAGATGTAACACATAGCCTTCTTGAGTTAAGAACAGATTCATGTATAGTAAACAGTCTGGCCAGGGAAGGAGGCACATGGAAACACCCTGTGTGCCAGACTTAGCACCAGACTCATCCTGAGTCATAACACAGACCAGGGACACTCACCTCCCCCTTGGGGAAACACAGCTTTCCACCTGAGAGCAACAGCGGTGATGATGCTGGCCCGATTGGAAGCCAGACACATCCGAGCAACCGTCACCTGGGAGACCAGAGTTCCCTCCTCAGACCCCACATCACTTTCCTTCTTCCCAAGAGCTCCTCGTCACCAAACAGGGATCCTTTGAAAATAGGGCCGTCTCATCCCCTTCTTAAGCCCTCCACTGGCTCCCATCGAGCCTGAGGGAAAGTCATACCCTCATGGGGACCTTCAAGGCCTGTGGCCCTGACCCCCGGCCACCTCCCATCGACAGCCACCCTGGCCTTCCTGTCTCAGAGCTTTGCTGTTCCTTCTGCCTAGAAATCTTGTCCCTTCAACACTGCTCATGGCTCCTTCTCTTTATTCAGGTCTCAGAAAGGTCTTTCCTGCCCAGTCTGTTTAGAATAGGCTTTCCTCCCCGCCCCCGCCACATGCTGTCCGCCTGCTGTGCCTCTTGCATAGCAATAACCGTACCAGACAGGTTGATCGCTGTTTGAATATCGTCTGCCTTCTCCGTTGGAACTCAGCTTTAGAGAACAGGGACTTGATTTTGTCTACCGTTGTTTCCTGAGAAAATGGCCTGACACAGTGGCCCCCAATAAAAGCTAATCAATGAAGGGCCCTCCCTGGTGTCCAATGGTTAAGAATCTGCTTCCAAGGCAGGGGACGTGAGTTCAATCCCCGGTCAGGGAACTAAGATCCCACAGGTCTTAGGACAGCTAAGCCTGCACACCACAACTGCAGAGTCCATACAGCAAAGACCCAGTGCAGCCAAAAGCAAAAGCAAAATAAAAACAATAGCACAAAAATTATTCAGAGTGAAGTTACCCCCCCATCCATCCACCCTCCAATGCTTTAAGCTCCCTCAATGAGACATTCGAGTAGGTAGTGAGTTTACCATCAGCAGAGACGTCCGAATGGTGCCTGGGCCCCCCTTGGCAGAGCTGTGCTGGAGACCAGGTTATGTGAGGCAGGACGGCACCGAGGGGAGGTTTGTCCTGCGATCTGTGCACATCTGCGTGAGCAACCTCGGGGCCTGAGAGCTCGCGGGTGACCTGAGACTTGCATGTGCGTGGCCGGGTTGCTCCCAAGAGGCAGTTCTAGCAATGCTTGCTGACTGTTCCTCAGATGCTACTGGGAACGCAAAAGACTCAAGTCCCTGCCCTTATGAAGGTTCAGTTCTAACAGGACCAACAGGTGGCAGAGCGGCCAAGAGGCGACCGAGGCCCCCGAGGACCGCCACGGGGCCCGGCGAGGGCCCGGGAACCGGCGACCGAGGCCCCCGAGGACCGCCACGGGGCCCGGCGAGGGCCCGGGAACCGGCGACCGAGGCCCCCGAGGACCACCACGGGGCCCGGCGAGGGTCCGGGAACCGGCGACCGAGGCCCCCGAGGACATGCCCGGCGAGGGCCAGGGAACCGGCGACCGAGGCCCCCGAGGACCGTGCCCGGCGAGGGCCCGGGAACCAGCGGCCGAGGCCCCCGAGGACCGCCACGGGGCCCGGCGAGGGTCCGGGAACCGGCGACCGAGGCCCCCGAGGACATGCCCGGCGAGGGCCAGGGAACCGGCGACCGAGGCCGCCGAGGACCGCCATGGGGCCTGGCGAGGGTCCGGGAACCGGCGGCCGAGGCCCCGGAGGACCGCCACGGGGCCCGGCGAGGGTCCGGGAACCGGCGACCGAGGCCCCCGAGGACCGCCACGGGGCCCGGCGAGGGTCCGGGAACCGGCGACCGAGGCCCCCGAGGACCGTGCCCGGCGAGGGCCAGGGAACTGGCGACCGAGGCCCCCGAGGACCGCGCCCGGCGAGGGCCCGGGAACCGGCGGCCGAGGCCCCCGAGGACCGCCACGGGGCCCGGCGAGGGTCCGGGAACCGGCGACCGAGGCCCCGGAGGA